TAGAAACATCCGTTGAGTTCTCCTGTCCATTAGAAATGCATAATAACTGAGAAAGTTACGGATACTTACTGATGCAAAAAATTAAGCTGCTGCGGTACAGAACTATCAAAGAGAAGTTATTGACACCAAGAGATAAGTCTCCACTTAGAGCGCAGACAAACAATTTCGAAATTGTTGACACCTTTCACTGAAATTTTTGACTCAAAACCAATGGCAGACTTTTAAGAGCCCGATCAGAGAAGGGGAAATTAAACATATTTTCCAACACTGACTTCATCAAAACCAAAAATGGACTGCTAGAATGATCTCGAAAGGGGTTTCACCGAAACAAGTTGAAAAACATCTTTGCGTGTGGAAGGATAAAAATTCGTTGAAAATTAGAGATTCGTAAAAACGTAGACGTTGGGAGATTGGCATCAGCCTGAGAATTACAATCCTCAAAGAACAAAGCTGAGGTTGATTATGTTCTTCAATGCTCAAACAAGAGCATTGTTCCTTTATTCTTAAAATTAAAGATACCTAAGTGGGAAAAATTATGCTCCATGACATTTGATTTCCACTCAATTTTTCGTTATTAGGTAATCACAACAATTAAACACGCTGAACAGTTGTAAACGGTAAGACTGCAAACTGAAATTAATGGGCTGGGTGCACGGAGAGCACTTCTCGGTTGCTGCATTTCTAAATCCACACTAATCTTTCATTAATTTAAGAGAAAGAGAATGTACCTACGCAATTCATTGAAATTTTCACTGAATATTTTTCATGGTTTTAGAACGCTCTACTAGAAAATTCTGTAAAACTCACTCATTAGATTCTTCTTTCGACATAAATTAGCATTTGAGATTCGAAAACGTCGTAACTGGGAGGTCCTCACCTCGTATTCAGCCCCTCAACTGAACTGCATTCTGCAATTAGGAACTATAAATTCTGGCCCGGTTTGAAAAAAAACGTGTGGGCCATTAGTTTCCCTAGGCACATTACCCTGGTAAAAATTGGCGATAGGAGCTGCGTTTCAAAATACCATAGAAATTTTTATAGCCGGCTAAAGAAGGCAATAGAAAATCATATAGCTGGCTATAGAAAGCGTAGCAAATCATATGGCCGGGCTATACGAAGCGATAAAAAAGTATGCAGCCGGGCTATAGTTCCTATCGCCGGGCTTTACACTTTATCGTCATTGGCTATAAAAGGCTATAAGAAATTGTGTAGAAATTCGTGTGCTTTGGAAATCATTAAGTTTGATACGGANTAATAGCATTTTTGCACTCAGCGACCCTAATAACCCCTGAAAACTCATGTTGCGAGGTTTAAACATACATATCTGATTTAATGCCGCTTAAACCGGCTATTCGGACCATAGTGCGGCGCGCGGCGTGCTGCCAGCGATAAGCGCGCATCAGCGCCTACAAACCTAACAGGGATACTTCACGCATGGCGCATTGGGTGAAGTATCTCTGTTAGGTTTGTAGGCGCTAAGGCGCTTTTCGCGCTGGCTGTCCGCCCGCCGCGCCGTAGCGTGCCACGGCGCTTGAAGCAACTATTTCATACCAGAGGTATTGCACAGTATCATACGAAATTGAAGGCCCTCCAACATATTAGGAGTGGCAGGCTTCCTTTAAAAGTGCGGAGCTTTCCACGCAAAATAAATCAAGATACTACGGCCCAAAAATAGAGCGGTGGTCCAAAAATTCACAAAGTCCTAGCATCCGTAATTAATAACATTTAGCATACACTTTATCGCCTGGCTGTTGCTCAATCGCCATCGGCTATAAAAGGCTATAAGAAATTGTGCAGCCGGCTATAGAAGCTATTGAAAATCTTACAGCCGGCTTTAGGTCAATGGTATTTTTGAACACAGATTCTACTGCCAATTTTTACCAGGGTAGTGTTTTTTCAGACGAGCCAGAATTTATAGTTCCAAATTGCAAAGTGTAGTCCAACTGCTCTACGAATGCATCTACAGGGGATGGATCTTTCTTACAACACGCAGCTTTACTCCAATGCGTTACCCTTCGGTTGTTTTTCAAAAGAATAAATACGTCAAAAATAGTCATCAGTTATTCCACTTCTAGTGAGTATCTCCACTTGAGGGGCTTGGAAGATAAGGCGCATAAGTGCAGTTTTTATCACATCTTTCGAAAAAAACGAGTTTAAAGTTCTCGATTTTACTCGGACAAAGCCCTGAATACCCTTAAAATCTGCAAGTGTTTGTCTCACACCTTCATGAGCGTCTTCTAAAATTTCCAGCTCATTTGAGCCAAATTGAGGACAGCAGTTGGGCTTCAAGTGACAGTAGGTCGGTAACACTTATCCCGCGTTCCCTATAGACGAAACATGCACTTATCCCATTCGCTGTTTTTTCATTGGCGGATCCAGCAATTGGGCGACCCCGGATTTCCTCAATTTAAACATATGGAAATGTATCGATTCTTGGAGGGGCCAGGTGCTCCGACAAGAATCGATTATTTAGCATAGCTTTAGATGAGGAATCCGGTGTTGCCAAATTGCTGGATCTGCCTCTTTGTTTTTTCCGCGTCAAATGACTTCCAGACAAAATCGCTTGGTATTCTGGATGGACCTTGCCTTCAACTACCAAAATACAAGGAAAACTCAATTTTGTTCAAAGACATGCTTCTGAGCAAACGATTTTAGTTTATTTCCACCCTCCCTTTTTCAACATGGTAAAACACGAAATGGTCCGGATTTCTGTTTCCTCTCTGACTTTCCTTCCTGTTTATATCTGCAGTGCTTTTAGTGAGGTCCAGTCGTTTTCGTGTATCTCACCTGTTGAAATACAAGCGTGACGAGCTATGGCACGCAGCTGAGGCGGCTGGGCTCTAATCTCTAGTCTCGAATTTCTAAAACTGCATTTATGCGCCTTGTCTTCCAAGCCCCTCATTTATCAACATCCTTTTATTGATGCACAGCACAATTACGGGAATCGAATTCTAACACTAGTGATGGTTCACACAGTTTTTACAATATATTCAAGCGTTACCTCAGTAAATTTCAAACATGACTGTTTCTATTGTGAGGATTTTTTCCTTCGTATACATAAAATATTCTGCAGAATATCATTAAAAATTTAGAGATTTCCATCCAGCACCTTGTAGCGTTTTTGTAGATTCAAGGTTTTTGAGGACAAGGCGAATGAAAGCAGTTTTAGAGACAATTGAGATATTACTGATTTCAAGGAAAACTAGTCTTGATGCATATTCTGTGAAAAATTTGCTACCTAATTCCAATTTTTAGGTATCAAAAAGTCAGTTTGAACTCTCTTTCCGCCATAAGGATCCGTGTAATTTCGAAACTTCAAACACGTATTTCTCGAAATAGCAAAAACTGCACTTAAGCTAAGCGCATTGTCCTCCAAGCCCCTCTTTTGGTCTTGCCTTCAATTTCGGTCAATACCTATTTAAGTAAAAACTCAGCTGACTCAAACGCGAATTTGTTTATTTATTCACTTATAACTTACAACTAGTTGCAATAGTCACATAATCGTGTTTTAATGATTTGTGATGACGGATCAGCAAGAACTAACATAATCCGTCCGAACATCAAGTTTCCGCGTCAAATATTAACGGTGACGTCAACCCTAAAAAATGTGGAGTACGACGTCATCCCCTGCGGAGGTGCATAACTGCATACCGTGGTTTCTTCCACCTTGGTTTCATTTGTTGTTCAAGTCCTGCAGCAACACGTCCGAATGTGAGCATTACCAGTTAATGAATGTAAGGAGAAAGAAACCATGGTAAATACCTACTAACGCCCTGGATGACGTCATACGCAGTGTATTTCGAGGGGCAATATTTCCGTTAAAATTAGGTGCAGAAACTAGGAGTTCGGACACAATTAAAAACCTACTGTTGATCTACAAGCTTAAATTATCAAAACGCGATTCTGTGACTGGCAGAACTGACCTAATCTGGTGGGAAGCTTTTTTCCCCCTGCAGAAACAGGCACATTCAAATACACTTTAATCCTTGATGTGATTTTTACCTTCCTTCTCTAATGCATGCTTGCGAGATATTTTGTTTACTTCTCATACCTAATTAAGTGAAAAATGAAAAAAGAGGTACTTGCAAGCATTTCCAAGTACCTGCTTGAACCATGCTTGAATAGGAATTGATGCCTTGAAATTGAAGACCTCCACTGTTTGTGGTGCAACCTTTCTTTAATACAGGTGTGATACCATAGAGTTCAGTTATGATGGAAAAGTAAGAAATCCAGGAGGATTTATTTAAAAACCATTCAAAATAATTAGATCAGTTTTCTATTCGAAATTGGAGACCACAGGTAGGAACTCACTTCCACATCATGGAGTATCAAAAAGGAAATATGATTAGATAAAAAACTGATGAACTTGAAATTGCCAGTTTTTAGTCGGTTTCTCTACATCAATATTTGTGATGAGAGGACTTCATAATTTTATGAGTCTACCAGATAGTGGGAAAAAGCATTACTGTTTCTGTCTCAATTGGATTTGTGTTGCCGGTTCACTTTCTATTACAACTGAACTCCAGATAAATTTGTATAAATTAAAAATCAGAGCAATCCTAATTCTCAGTTTTAGTAATTGTACCTCAAATCAATAAGCAGTAAAAAATAAAGTAAAAACGTCTCTTCTGATTGGTCTCCGCATGGGAAGAAAGTTGTCTTCCCTTGCACTCGACACTTTATCCCATCCCTTTTCTCGAGAGCTGGTTCCTCAAGGGGGTACCAGCAAAATGTACCGCTGTGCATAAACTCAAGGTTCCTCAAAGACAAACCGAACAGATCGTGTGGTGAGTATTTGAGACTAAACCATCATCGTGAGTCTTCCGTAAAACTGAGACTGGTGTACTGAGATATGTTACGGCATGCACTAAATGGTTAGGGGTCTAAAATTTATGTTTTTTTAAGACAAGAGAAGCCGAAAACAGCTTGAATGATTGAATTGTTGATTGACAAGAGCAAGGAGAACCGACTGACAAAACAGGAGTAAAAAGTTGACAAAATGATAAAAATAAAGTCATTTTATTAATAATAAGAGTTATTGGTTTGAATAAATTATATGATAAATAACAATCCTTACTTAAGAGTCTGGTTTAACAGAGATAAAAAACAGTAAGAACCAAGAAGTTTAACTATTTACAATACAAAAAAGATAGACACTATAAGTAGTTTCAGCATTCGTCTTAGCACCAACTTGCAAAGGTAACCAAGCTAAGACTAAGAACAAAAATCTTAAATAAGGCACAGTTTCTGGACAAAACGATGACCTTATATCTCTTGCAAAACCAGGAATCTTCAAGTTTGTAGTTATTTAAATACCTCCAATTGAAACAGGGTGCAGAATTCTCTTATCGTTTCCCGAATGAACCATCTCGGTTGCATTTCTTCAATCCCTGGACATTTAAGTTAAGTTCTTAGGAGTAATAGATGGACCAGATTTCTGATTACAGGTCAAGCAAAGCTTTGCATAGATAACTACAACTACCTCTTCATTATGGTTGCATGCTTTGATTAAGTTGGAATCTGCTATTTTTAACCATGAAAATGATTTTTTTGATCTTGCAAAGACATTAACAGGTCGTCCACTCTGACACTGTGATTGTGAGTAGATTTGTCATTTTACTAGAAAAACAAACCGTTGACTACTATAACTGAGAGACAGTTTCACTTTTAAAATTGAGTGAATTTTCATAACCTGGTTTAGTTTTTGATGGAAACTTAAAAAAGAGAGCAAAAAAAAAAAACCATTAATGTACAGCAAACTGAGATCCACAATGGAAATGTCTACCGATACGTTCCATAGACTTTTGAAAATTGGAGTTGACAGTGGATTGTAGAGGATTCTACATTTGCTGTCTATACTATGCTACATCATTCTACTTCAATGCTAAGAGAATAGTAAAAGATCACTTGATTCAACTTGGGAAATCTTTCACTAAGAAAATCTCACTAGTGGCTTTATAATAGTAATAAGTCGAAGATAAATGTGGTTCTCCTTTTTTTTCATAGGAGCCAGATTAGCCTATCATAAAGTAAGGCTGACAACCGACAAATTTTAACCAATAATGCCGTGAAACCTAAGTTGCGAAGAATCCATCAAATCATAAACTCTTTTCGGGTTACTGGACAGTTTACATGGATCTTTTTGCCATCATTGACATACAGGAGGCCTCTTTATGAGAGGAGACTTGGCACAACAAATTTGAATACTTATAAGATGTACAGAGAAACTTACAAGGCTTTGAAGAAAAGGAATTTAGAATCTATTATTTTTCGTAGTCAAAGAAAACGGACACCTTTAAGATTAAATGTTTAATGATGTAGGGCGACATCAATGTTTGGATCAAGAAGACGAAACTGAGACCAATACGGTCCAAAACTTATATGTTGGAAGATGAGTGCTAAAATTTAGCTACATAGAAATTTCCTTTTGGGATGGTTTCTGTTGGCACGGCAATATGATACCTCAAGATGACTGTGAACACAAAATGGCTGACGTTTGAACTGCATGATGAGAAGCACTACAGTAAGTCCCTGCTTTTCCCGATAAGGACTGTCAGACCTTTCACATTCTGATGGAATATTGCTACATATTTTAGTGCAGTTAGGGTATACGTATCACATAAATTTCAAATTTTATCACTCCTGAGATTTCGGCAGACCTCTTAAGATGGAAGACTAGGTGACCTACGGCTTGTATGATTTATCAGCCCACTGTACTTACTTGGTTTCTAAGAGATAAAGTTTTTAATTCCTTACAAGAAATAAAGTAAAAAATAGGTAGAAATAACAATAAAAGTGGAAGAGCTGTGATGACTGAATAGCTGGTAAAAATCTATTAATTTCAAACTGTCTACTGACTTATTATGTCTTGATTTTGGAACAAATTACAATGAGAGGCGTTTTGCAGGATTGAACAACAGATACAGAAAGTTTTTTGCATCCACATTGCTGACCACGTAATACTGCCTGCTTCACTATTTTCTATGCATAAAAGAGCGCGCTTCACTACTTCCTTCACAATAAGTAGCACATTCATTTGTATTACAAAGAGGGAATTTGAATAAAATTTACGAAAGGAAAATTCTGAATGCCTACTGCCTCTGCATTTTCACTCTTATCAGTTGCCTTTGCATTTCTCCTGTGATCTGTTGATCGAGCCTTTTTTGCACCTTGACGAGACAATTCAGAGTTTCGTTACTTTTCATTTGAAATTTCATTTCAAAAAATGGAAGTTGAACATTTATCTCCTGAAATTATTATGCTTCATTATCTTGTTGCTTGTTTCCATGGCCCAACTTAATGGGGATGACAAGAAAAAAACAAATGATGACTTTTGAAAACAGACTGAAGTTTTAGAAACTGAACGCAGTGAAACATTCTCAATCTTGCGCAAAGGAGTCATCTATTAAACATCCGTAGCTTTAGCAGCGGCACAATATCTAACAAAAACCTAAAACTTCTCTTATATTACTTATCACAGTAACACCCTTTTAAAAATAGGATGGGATAAACATACAACCCAAATGGAAACCTAATATTTTGTTCTATTTCTGCGAAAATAATGGAAACAAATTGGAGAAATATAGTTTTCAGGTATGTAAGTAGATAAAATATTAAGGTAATTTAAACATTTTGACTTTTTTGGGCCTGTTTTACAAATGAATAGATTGCCTGAATACCGAGTTTGACAAATATGCGATTTATCTAACTACAATTTTGGTTAAAATATAATTTAAACCTTAAATTAATTAAAAAGAGGAAGAAACACAAAACGACAAAAAAAAATCCCATTTCTGAAGTAAAAACGTCATCTTATGAAAATTCATAAAATTATCTTTCTACTAGAAGTTTGCCCTGAGAATCTGTTTACAATAGATGATAAAACAAATTTTGACAAAGGACTAGAAATAAGGAAATACTACATGGGTTTTAATTGAATTCTTCAAGGGGAGCTTGGTTCAAAGATACGGTTGGTTGAGAGAAGCGAAATATTTTTAATAAACCATAAAGAGTAACAGAATCTGTCCAGAATTGTCACAGTTGCCGAGAATTATCTACAGCTAAAACATTCCTTGTATTTCATAGAAATCGCCATTACAGTTTAAGCTTTCACTTCCCTCAAAATTCACAACCTCTCACCCACTTTCATTTGGTAATTATAAATGGAAGACTATATAGGTAGATACCAACTAGGGAATAGATTATGCATACATGTTAGAAAAGAAAAACGGGAAGCAAAAAAGTAAGAATCTGATGCTATCAGAGCATTTCCTAAGGCTCAAAACACAGCTTGAATATTACGAATTGCTTTTTCTTACACAACAAAATGATAACCACTTGGTGGCATATAAAAAAAAAAAAACAAAAACGAAGGGCCAACTGATTGTGAGTCTTTTGTTTCCTTGCAAAATTCATTACGTTACATTAAGGGACTATTCTACGATTCACTAAGAAAAAATTTGCAGACACTAGCGATGTGGGTGCATTCATGAGCTAAAAGATTCTACCATTCAAGTATTTTCATTCATGAAAAATAAAATACACTTTCTTTACATTTTTTTTTTTTTAAAACGAAATCCTTTTTATAGTGTACTTGTATCAAAACAGTGGATTTCTGGACAATTATAAATACTGGCTAAACAATGGTCATTCCTTCTAATATACGCTGCATCGCCAGTCCCAAAAGAGCATAACAGAATCTTCAACTCCTTAATATTTCAATTTTTTTTTCATTAGGACCAGTGTATACCCCTGGATTTGATACAGCTCCTATTCCTTTTGCACCAACTATCACACCTCCCTACTGTGACAATAATGTTGCAAAATTTATGGGCGACCCCTTAAAGGACTGTTAAAAAAATATCGCTTTTTTCTCTCATAATAGCTCTTTGGAAAGTAACAGCTACAGCTTAAACAAGAATCACGATGGCTTTCACATTCAACTTGGAGACCTTCACTAGAAGATATGACAAATGATGCAACAATTTGACCTTCCTGATTCTCATTTGTGAGTCACAAGGGTACTTTTATAAGCCATGAAGATTGTTGGGAAAGAGGTAGTTAAAATTTAGTTTTTAACTATCAAACTAATGCTTTCATAATGTGCAGAGACTAAATTATCTGTGATTATTCTTCTTCAACATAAGACATTCCAAGGTCCCCAACTTAAATAGTATATTCACCGATTTAGAGCTTGTTGATGAGTTATTTCAGTAGAACAGCTTGAAAATAAAATTACAATTTTGATCCATTTTACTAAGTAACACTAAATTGATTTAGGTTTGAATTCCCTTGGGCTTCCATAGGTACTTAAAATGTCTTTCTTAAATCACAGAAATGTTGAAAAATTAACTTAGCTGATGCCATTTAACAGATCAGTCTTAGAGGTTCGTAAACTACAGAGCAAGCAACATTTCATACAACAAAATTTTAAGATTTCCAGTTTGATCAATTTAGGTTCCTGGTCCCTCACTTTTATCATGTCCTGCTAAAATAGTTTTAGGTCTCCTTGATAATTCTGGTTCACTACAAAGGGACTCCAAGGAGTTTTCACGTGACCAAGTGAAGTTACACAATCATCCCGTGGGCTGGCAGGATAGAGAAATTAGTCCAGGTGCTATTATGGACTTCTTACATTAGTTTGCTGTATTCGATTTTGAAATGGACCCTATGGATTACACCAGCATCACAATAAGTTTAGTTGTTGGCATTGACATTTCCGTTTTATTAATGATTCATTGGTTCTGAATTGAATCTTGCTAGGTACAAAATTATCATCTGACAACTGGAAGGGGTGCAAAATGTTCATGATCTGGCGAAATACATCTCGCGTGTGAATAATGTAAACTCCGGCTGTAGCCGCACTGATTTTTTGATCAAATTTAGTCAGATTAATTTTAATTGCACTTATTTTTATTAAAATTACTTCACTTGCACTTAACTTTTGTCAAATTTACTTTGACCATGCTGATTTTTGGTCAGAACTACTTTGACTGCGCAGTGTAATAGTGCTTAGGGAAAATTAGTGTTTTGCTGGTGAAAGTGTTCACTGATGAACTTTCTGCACCCCTGGTAAACTTTGCCTCCATAAATGCAGTGGCTGGTATTACTGTCTGATGATGCGTTCAAGGGAAGGAAGGAACAAATTGTACTTTGAGAGGGTTCACTTTCAATCTGAAGTTTGAGAAAGGTAATACTTCAGTTCGTTACATTCTAACAGTTAAAATGACTTTGTTGTTTCAAGTAAAGTAAAGTAAATTCCCTCCATTTGATAAATATTCAGTAGTTTTACACATGAGGTTCATCAATCTTGCAACATTTCGAAACGTACAAAAAGAAATCAATAAAAAGGCATACAACATGAGTGATAACAAGATCGATAGTATCCACAAATTTTGAAACTCCTCATGTTGATCTTGATAATAAGGAGGCTACAAAGATTGCTTTATTCCAAAAATTGAAACGTTAAAAAGCCACAATTATAAACTAGGATGGATTTTTCCCCTTTGGATTGAGAAATGTTCTAATTCTAATCATTACGTTCTTTGTAATTGAGTCATGAGGCAAATCGTTTCACAGGTTCTTTTTTCCTCCTTTCCTGTTGCGGCACAGTCTTCCAAGACAATCATGATTATTTGTGCAAGAGGATTTAGATTTTTAGATTTTCATAGTACAGCTGAGGTCTTAATTCATTCTACTAAATGCTGTTATAATGTTAAGCATTATTCAGAAGTCAAACAAAGGATACCATTTTCAAAAAATTTTGTGGGACATTCTGAGCATTTACAATAAAGTTGTGATTTAATAATTATGCGAATAAAAATTTAAGCCGAGTGATTTTTTTCCAGAATTCATTGCTCTTATCATAATGTTTCTGACATCATTTTTAATTTCAAATTCAAACAGAGCTTCATCTATGCAAAAATTAATTTTTTTGCATAATGCACAAGGGAGAATTTGAGAAAAAAGCTTGGAATAAGGCACCTTGAATATGCCTTACAAACATGCAGAGATTATCTTTAACTCTGGTTTTCAAAAAATCTATCGAGACACAAGAAGACACCATACGACATGTCAGGTGAAGAAAGCCCACTGACTTCTCACTTAATTTGATGAGATTTGTCAGAGGCAACTAACTTATTTAAGTTAAGGACAGTAGAGAATAGCTTCCAAAAAGCTTCGAATGAAATCAGACACAGAAAAGATTTGCTTTCGTGATTCATCCACAGGTTAAAACATCAGATGTCTTAAATACTGTTCTGGCAAGAACTAATGCATTAGGCATTCCATCGTTTTTCAAACGAAGGCTCGTTCGTTTCGTTAAATCATATTCGTAATCAATAAGTTCAGTTCGTTAAGGTAAAGGCTTTACCTTGAAATCCTTGACACAATCTAAAAATAACACATAAAAAGAAGAAAATGACTGATAAAAGAGTGCAGAAATTCCAGTTCCACTGAGGACAATAAGCCTAGTTAGCGAGGATGGGGTTGGGTTTATGTTGTTCTCCTGCCATTGGCTCAACAAAACTGAGAGCAAAATAAAAACTCTAAAAAATGAATCTCCGTAAAATAATAGAGAAAGCATTCGAATGTGAATTTCAAAATTGACCTTGGAATGGTGGTAAAATTAATATCTAATTCACATTACGACTGCAATCATTGGTTTCTTGGTGTCAAACCACTTTCTCTATGATAGTCAGCAGCAAAACCTCTGAGTTATTAAAAATCAGCTAGTCTGACAAAAATGAAGTAAAGGTTCGCGTATTACGGTAGGAAATTCATCAGAGGTCTCGATGCAAGAGGGATTTTGAGCGTGAATAGAAGGGTTACACATTTGATGAGCACCTGTTGATGCTGTTGAATCAAATTTAAATACTTGAGTTCTTAGCAAAATCCTGAAGAGAAACAAATTTGAAGAAAAACCCATGTTCAATCACCGATTTTACCTTTGATGTTCATTTGAAAAGCTTCCATACTGATGCTAAGATCCTTGAAAAATAAGGGTTAAGTAAGATAAAAATATTATCCTTTGACCACCATTGGTGTGTTTTTTGATGGAGTTTATGCTTATATCGATGCAGAAAATGCGCCCAATGATCTACAGATGTAGGAGAACATTTTATAGAGAGCAGTGTGTCCTAAAAATGATTTTTCTCCTTCAAAGCTGGAAATTAAGGTGAATTAAGAGGAGGCTGAAAGGGAAAGTATACGACACGTCGATATCTCTTCATGAGAAGTTCATGACATTAGGTTAGTTTTATGGGATCTGTTACTGAAAACAAGAACATGGATGAGAGGTTAGTCACACGAGTCGATGAATCTTAAAGTCGTCATAACCTCATCGTATTTCTTGTCAGCTTCTTCTGCAAGGAATCTGGCTTCTTTCAATTGGTTTTCCAGCGCATCCATACGCTCTTCATCAGCCAAGCTGCGGTTTTCAAGGATCTTGCGCTGACTGAAAGTACACTTGATATTAACCTTCAATTCTCACAAGATAACCAAAGAGTGAGACATTTCTGTTTGATTCTGCATATCTCTTGAATCTTACTGCGGCCATAAGTGATGATAAAAATTAAAAAGGAGTAAAAAATAAAGGTTTCTTGAATCTTTTATTAAAATGAGGCTGTCAATGAAACAACCTTTTTTAGTATTTTTAGCTTGTCTCAATGCTGGAATGAATGACATTTGATTGTCAAGACATAGAGATTGCGACTCAACAAAAATGACTCACATTGGCTAACACGCACATACAACCATGCATACTTACAATTAAAAATTGAAACCTGCCTAACTTCAAATGGGGGGGGGGAGGAACTTAAAATAGGACCCTTCACCTTTCAACTGAGAACATTTGCTCTGCTCCGATGATGAGAACACTGCATTGTAATGTAATTGAAAAAATGGCCTTAATGCACCAACAGTATAATGAGTAGCATTAGCTATTATTTAACAGTGAGTAAGTTTTAGTGTTTTTTCTACTTGGTTGCATGACGTAGATTTCAGACAATTAGAGTAATGGCAAACCAATGGCAATTGCAAACAAATCTGAATAATTTCAATAGAATGATTTGGCTTCTATATCAGTGTTGCCAAATGGCGCTCTTCGTTTAAGGATATGTGTTATCAAGACAGAGTAGAGCAATGTTGTCAGTGGATATCACATCCGAAACTAGAGAATTTCTTACCTCTTCATATTTTTTATCAGAATCTTCGGCTATATATCTGGCTTGTTGTAATTGCTGTTCTAGAACTGCAACTCTATCATCTTCCATATTTGTTCTATTTTCAAGAGCTTTCCGTATCCTACATTGTGAGTAACAAACAGAAAACAAAAAAGCAAATCACACACCATGCTTAATTACATTAGTCACACAAAAAATGGATTGAGTAGTGAAAAACGAAGGTAAAAAATCTTTTTCCTTCAGTAAGAGGGATTTATAAAACAAGAGGTCCAAGTACTAGATTGGATGTTTCGAAAAGACATAAGTGCAATATTGTAAGACTGGTAATGCCATACTGAGGATGTTAGATAGGGAAGCAAATGGAATGGACTCCTTAACTGCGGAAGAGTTCAAACGCCACATGATATCCCTCAAATAAATATTATGCAAAACACGTTGATTGAGTCCTAAGTCAACTTATAAATAAGAACTCGGTTTATTAATGTATATAAATACATTACAGGGTGTCCATCTTCTTTTGCCTGTCGAATTCCCTGAATTTTTGTGCGTTCCCCTGATGCCGAAATCACCGAATTTCGTGACTTTCCCTATCTTTTCTAACGATTCTCTGACAAAAACTTCCGCTTAGATTTGTTTCCTCTAATTACGCTGCCTTTTTAACTTTGAATTAAACGCCCATTTCTAAGTGGAGGTAAAAATCACGGGAAAAGGTATTCAGAAGTTGTTTGCACTACTTCAAAATTCCCTGACTTTTTCTTTAAAATCCCGTACTTTTTAGGTTTTCCCCGCCGCCCTGATACTAGAATCAATGAGTTCAAACTTCTTGCTCACGAAAAAGCAGCAATTAACATGGGGTTAAATTGACCATCAAAAACAAACCTTTAATTTGAAAAAAAGAAGAAAAAAAACCTAACCGATTTCCTACTTCGATGGATTTCACATAAAAGCGGCACACTGAGAAAATTATTGCGTTACAAAGAACAGTGATCTAGCGATTAGTTTAGAAGCCACCTGATACAAGTAGGATTTGATTTTTGTGCAAACAGGAAGTTAGAATTGATGGTACAGAAAACTCCATTTCCTCGTAATGCTGAGTTTGAGTACTTTTGATATGTTTCATGTGCCCATCATGTTTAACATGACATTTTGATGAAGAATGTCGACTGAGAGACTAAAAAAATGCATAGCACGGTTAAACTATTAACACTACACTATAAGTGAGGGACGGTTGGAAACTTTGGTAAAATCTCATAAATCTCCTTGTCTTTGCCTGACCTATTATTCATTTCTTCTTGATGCCAGATACTCTGTTCGTGGCAGCGCTAATTAAATTCAGTCCAAACCCCTTTCCTTTCAGGCCTAATATCAAAATTTTTAACAGAATACCTACCCAAATCATTTTCTCGCGGTCCTCAAGCAGACTTTCTCAAACCGACTTTAGAAATGGTCGTGACGACAGCAACCGAATACACGGAAGTTTTCATTGAAAGCTGCCCTATCAACTCAAGTAGCAGTGATCGCGATGTAAGGTGCGATTTGATCGGAAAGCGTACCGCGACTTTTTGTCGACGCGCGACGTCGCGTCGCTTTAATGCAATATTATCGAATAAAAAGTCGCGGATAAAAAATTGTGATTTCATCGCGTATATTTGCAATAATCGCGAATTTTTCGACGGCGATTCATCGCAATATTATCGAACAAAAACTCGTGATAAATGGGGATAAAATTTCGATTTTATCAAATGCGATTTTATAGAAATACAATTGGACCGAGTTTAACAGAAAGGAACCAAGCCACATCAGCTATTGCCAAGTTTAACTGGGCAATTAAATTTTTTACGATAGAACGTTTGTTCGGATTTCTTCGAAAATTTTGAGGAATTTGCTTCGTACCATGGAGAATTTTCACTGAAATTTGCTCGAAAATCTGCACAACCGTTTTCATGTAGAAAATTAAATTGCCCAGTTAAACTTGGCAATAGCTGATGTGGCTTGGTTCCTTTCTGTTAAACTCGGTCCAATTGTGACCGGGTTGAGGATAATAGCTCAGATGTTGATGGTCCTAGCGATTACATCGCCTAAAAATCGTAAAAAAATAGCAACTTTATTTCCGAATATCGCGATTTCTCCGTTAAAAACTGCTACTTGGGTAGAAGATTATACTGGCTCCTTACAACCGAGGAGGGTCCCACAGGAAGGGCCAATAGTGCCAATAGCTCCAGCTCGCCTCTTGTGGACAAGCAGCAACAATAGCACAGAATATATAGACCTACATATTCTGTGACAATAGTCTTACAGCGATGCTGACGGCTGACGCTTGTCCAAGCAATGGCTGCTCTGAGAAATGAGCACACCTGGACTATTACGGTTCCTTCTCCTGGGACCTTCCTTGGTTAGGAGGTTGAGGATAATTTTCACAGATTTTATTCCCTCGCGTATAGCTACAGAGTGAGTGTTACGAAAAATATTACTGACAATTAGGATTGGGCCGAACGAGGTGTTTTCGACTTTGAGGGTTAAACAAGCTCATTTTAAACTTCAGGGTTATGAAAACAAATGTATACACACGCACGTACAAACACAACTTAGGGTGTCTACCAGTTATAAAAGACTAGAATTGGAGACTTTTGGTTCCTTTTGGGGTGGTTTTTTTCAAGAAAATCGGGACAACCCCCCCCCTCCCCCAGTATTGTAAGAGAAAGGGAGCTAGTTAGAGCGTTGAAAGGCGTGTTTTGTGCGACTTATTTTACGAGTCATGTTGAACCGATGAAAACATGAAAAACCAAGCAACACTTCAGTTTTTATTATTCCTGGTTGGACCGTGCTGCTGCGGCTGGCACTTAAAAATGCTGGTGCTTAGGACGCTTTTTGTCATTTTAGGGGACATGAAAAAGAAAACTAAGGACTTTTGGGGACATCGGGGACCGGTAGACACCCTGATATCCCCTGACTTTTCCCGGTTTTTGAGGTCGCTAACAACCCTGCGTTAAGTTGGGCAGGGGTAAGGGATACAAATGTCACAAAAAACTCAAACTCTGAGATTAGTTTGGATGAATAAATGATCAATGTTAAATAACGATAAAATGCGAATTATTGCCATTAAAAACCAAAACAAAAGGTTGACACAGCACGCTATATGGGGTGTTATTTGGAGTGTATACACACACACACACAAATGGGACTGCCAAAACGGAAAACAGTAAGTTTGGAAAACTCTTGATAAATATATGGAGATGACTTCATAAGATTCCACTTGTTTCGCTAGGGCCTTAGTACTGTACTCTCGGTGATGATAGGCTTTGGCATAGCTCCCTGAATTTTTAAATAAAACTACCAAATCATCATAAATTTTATAACATTTGACTTTTTACTCTACTTGTATGGTTTTCACGCTTCTACTACATGGATGAACACGTCTCGAACTTAAAACAAAATAGTTCAACGAACTGTCCTGCCGTGCTAGGGATAAACGCCGTATAAGCCTTCAGGTGCTGCCAAATTTCTTTCGATAAAATATGAGCTTTCAAGGAAACTGTTGGAATATTTTTCCTCCAATTCTTCAAGAAATTTAATTCGTAATTTGAAAAAAAAAGTTAGTGAAAAATCAACGAAAAAAGATGATAACTTTCCTCCAAAATTACTGTTTCATTTGGGGAAATTTGGCAACTCCTGAGGGCTCATACAGCGTGTCTCTTTAGCACGGCAATGTTCACCGTTAGTTCGACTGAATATTCTCAGCTTCGTTGAAACTAGTTTCGCAAAGCAAACTAGGATGTAATCATTAGTACACAACGTTTCTTGGTGTTTATTGAAGTAGTTCGACTGAAGGCCCATATACACAGACGAGGCAGTAAATTTAAGTAATTGAGAATGAGTTCTTTTGAATAAGGTGAGGTGATGTAGCCGTCCATTAAACATGAGATAGTTTTCTAGGCAAGATGTGGCAACTTGTACGACCAAATTTAATATCAATTGATGATGAAGGGGGAAAAATTGAGAGGAGAACAACTAGGCAGGCTGCACTGAAGTGATGACAGAACTGTAAGTTTAAAGCGTGTCTTCAGTTCCTCAGTGAACTTTGAGGAGTAGATCAGCTCAAGGAAATTGTATTCATCTCTCTTTGGAGAGAATTTCATAGCTCCATGTTATATTATTTTGGTATTTCATAAGGAATATGTGTTATGTAAAAACAGTTTATAAACTTCTGTTGAAAAAAACCATCTCAAGTTTACCACGAAACCTCTCTGAAAAGTTTACAGGTCAGATGTGATTATCGAAGTGGGATACAAGAGAAAAATAGTGACTGTCTACAGTCATTTTTGCTCCTTATAATTTTATACATTCGAATTGAAAGATTTGTGAGAAATAATAATTTGTTTTCTTTGAACAAGAGGACTCGTTAGTCGTTATACGCGAAAGAGGTGAATGACTGGCTGGGATATTAAAAAAACAAAACCCAGCATACTTCAGCAAATGCATGCTAAGAAAATTGAACTTCTTCTTCATTATTATTCACAATGATTCGATTGAATATTGCGGTTTGTAAACTAGATGATCCTCGTCCTGTGCACTAGCTTATTCTCGAGAGCATAAAAAATAGTACCCCATAGATATGTCAGAGGCATCTGCTGGGGTTGCCACAATATCTTAATCTTCCAATTTCTTTCTTCTTTTTCTTTCAAAACGATCATGTTCCTCATTTAGGCGAGTTCTTGTTGAAAATTCGTGTGAAGATATTTTGAAATAATTTCGGCAAAACTCGCGAGGTCACGACGGAGGACTGTCACTAATTTTCTCTGATGGTTCCCACTATGGCATGCATCAACTAACTGGCTTTTAATAATGCAACATTTGATAAGATGGCAACATGACTGTAGGATTTATGTTTTAAATGATGCACGAACATAAGCAACAAGACGGGCAAGTCTATTTCCGCGTGTCTCGCTTTTTGTTACACTGCAGCATGTTGCCACTACAAATGATTACATTACCAAGAACCAGATTTGAGATCATACTGATAACTGATAAGTTGGAGACGTACCGTTCTGATTCATCGGCTGCTTGTGAAGCTTCGGCAAGCTTGGCTGTGGCTGTGGCAAGACGCTCCTCTGAACGCTCTAAATCTTCTTCCAAAAGTTGGATACGACGATTTAATGCAGCTACTTCACTCTCAGCCTGAAACATAGACAAACAAAGAAACCGTGAGGAATTGCTGCAGTATTACACACATTCAGAAATGAGAATAAAATTTAAAAAAAAAACCAGCGTGTTTCTCGAAATGAGAATAAAATTTCAAAAAAACCATCGTGTTTCTCGCGACATTTTACGAACGAAAGTTGAAATCACTTAAAATTATACGAAATCTTGAATGCATGCAAGAGCTTCATTATCATGATTGACTTTTGAAGTCCCCAAGCTGAGTAGCTGAGTTTGGTTGTTGTTGACGTTGTTCGAAGGTTTTTAGATTTTCAACCCTTGCGGAGCGATACGACTTGGACACACGACCAAAAATAATCCAAATGAATAACACAATTTGGATCTGCGCTTTGTGTTGACCTTTTGGCGAAAACCCAGGGCGTCGCAGAAAATTTCGGAGGCCTAGACCGATCTGGACCCCTGCTACTTGATGTATTCAGCCGTATCTCACAGAGTTTGGACTGAAAACAGAGATCAGGATGTCTACTTAAACAGGCTGGCCAAAAATCAGCACTTTTACGGTATTTTTTCAGTACATTCCCAAGAAATTCAGTACCTCCTCGACAGAAAAATTCAGTACTTTTTCAGTGCCTTCAATAGACGAGATTCGGCAAATTTCAAAAATTCGAATTTCCCGCTCGAATTGCGAAAAAAATAAAAAAAAATCCGGACCTTCTTGCGGAATTCCGCACTTTTTCAGTACTTCCGGACCGCCCTTAAAAAATCAGCACTATTTCCGGACTTTCCGGAAATTTCTGACTTGTAGACACCCTGGAGGTAGACACTCTTGTAAGGCAGGGGCGGACCTCCTTCGTTCCGGCACCGACTTGGCAGGGCAAGCTTCCACGGAGCTTCGGAGTTTATTTCGGGGAAAAAAATCAAGTCTCCAAAACCGAACAATTTTATCTAAGCTGAAATTTTGAACCAGGATATCTTGTTAGCACAGTGTGCAAGAAACTCCGTGGTCCTTACAGGTGCAAGTGATTTCCGACCAGGTCCACGGCAACTTGTCGGCGCGACGCGACGACGCGCGCGCAGTGTGAACGGACATAGAGCCGGCTGGCGACGGGATTTACGGTCTGCTGCAGCGTAATGAGAATCGAACCCCGGCTTCTAAAAACCGACACCTACATTCGGACCTAGTTGCCGGATCACTACACAGAGACAAACCGAGACTCTTCCCGCCGATCTCTTGGCGACAGGATAGTGAAAAAGAAGGAGGTGTTGACATCTTGCCGATCGTTTACCCCGTGACGTAGGTCGGTACAACATCGCGTCGAAATTCCGGAATTCGAAGTATGAAAAACGGACCTCAACGTCCGACTTCTTTTTGCTGAAATCAACTCTTGGTACAATTTTAAACACTTTATTTGGAATGACTTCTTCCCATAAACTACACCATCTCCAAGAAAATCGATTGATAAAAATCGTCCGTACCGACCTACGTCATCAAAAAAGTCCAAGATGCCCGAAATGCAAACACCTCCTTTTTTTCTCTATGGGCGACAAGCGGGGATGCAGATTTCTCAGCCTTTCCTTTTAAAAAACCTATTTTCCTCAAAAAGTGCAGAATCATGATTTATGTTGGTTCTCCACTCACCAATCGCCGTAATTTTTTCGAAAAATGTGCTATTTTTATCGCAGGTCTGCAAATCTTGCGCTTTAAACCTCAATTTCGCAGGAAACGCGATTTTTACGCTAACGCGCGCCTAACCAGGGTGTTTACTAAAACAGACCGGCCAAAAATCAGTATTTTTACAGTACTTTTTCAGGACATTCCCAAAAAATTTAGTATCTCCTCAAAAGAAAAATTCAGACTTTCTTAGTACCTGCAGAGTATTAAACAGAGAAAAAAAGAAAAGAAAGACATACGAAAATTTTGTCCGGAGATCAGGAAAAGACAGTAAATTAGAAAATTTTGGAGTCTAGGGAAAATCAGAGAATTTGACGAAATTAAGGGTACCCTGCACTAGGAAAATTCCCGGGACATTGGAAGTGTCGAAAAGTGCGTCTTTTATGATCCCCTAACTTTCCCTGCACAAGGACTCCAGGCAGAATCAAGGTCGTTGAACGTAACCTCATGAGCACAGCTCCGCACCTCGCCAACATATCTCTTAATCATGGAACCATCAAAGCCATGCCCGATACATGTCAAGTGCTTGAACCGGGTGCCAATAATGACTCCTTCAAGTCGCAAGCTCTTCATTCTGCCAGTGCCATTACTGCTATTGTATTCGGCCGCTCAGACCGAAATGCACAGCCGTTAGATTTCGTGACGCCGAGCAATTGTCATCGTAATCGGGTGACGGTAGCGATTGGGTGGTCATGTTCCAAGCCGCGTTGTAAATTCTACCGAGAGAGGAATTTACTCCCTCTCTGACGAACGGAAGCGCATTGGATTCTACGGAGAAAACGTGGCCACTTCGATAGAGGAGCCAGGAAGACATCGCATGATAAGGGGCTTCAGTCGATGGATGTCAAGTATTGAGTTACCGCCGATGGATCGATGGGAATTCCGTCTTGAGATGAGAGGTTTCGCTCGCATTGATCTTCATTACATGTTGATTTTGACTTTGCGTTTTTCGCCACTTTAAGTTTTATTCATCGAACTTTGCACGACTTGATTAATCGCTCCGATTTGGGCTTTCGTACATGAACACACAACTTTGTTTCTGATTCGCGCCCTTCGCGCTGAAATGCGTCTGAACGTATCTTGCAATCTCAATTTCTCGTTTTTATTGGGTCCTTAATTGATTTATGACGTACCAACGACTAAATTGTTATGAATTGACGCAATTAACTCACACGGACTTTGTATATAAGGTCGTGTATTTGTTTTGATTTGAACCTACCCCTGAGTTCAATATTACATCGAATGAAACAGGGTCACTACTTCAGTCTTTATCCTATCACGACTGAACGCACTCCATGAGGTAAATGAAAAGGCTCCTAGAAAGAGTCTTCGAAATCTAGTCAAGAGTTTATTGTAGTTCATAAATTTTTATTTTAATTCTAATTAATTCATGGCTTAAAACCCCTGAGTTACCCCTGTTGCCAGGTTTTTCCAAAGCACTCCATTCCCCGGGGATCTCCAGGTCTTCCTAGAGTCCCTTTATACTGAGAGTCAAGACAATTCGGCTCATGGATGTCACAAACGGGTATAAAGATTACAGAAATTGAACGTTTTTCGTAATCTTTGATCGGCCCATTCTCAAATGCCTTTCTCCGTTCCTCCTCTCATTCCGTTTGTTCCTTGCCGAACCCGTAATTCCCTGGTCCATTCCAGATTATAATCTTTGCAATTGGTGAAAATGTAATCTTTATTCCCGTTTGTGACACTGTGGAGGCCTAAAATACGGGAACCAATCAGAAATGGATTCAAATTGTCTTGACTCTCAGTATAAAGGGACTCCAGGTCTTCCCAGAGGAGGCGACCCTGAATATTGTCGTCTGAGAGGATATTTCGTAATTTGAAAGTGTCCGACGTCAAAACACGATTTATTACTCATATGACTGACCCGTTCGTCAACCACGTCCGTGACATTCCACCTGGAGCCAGTACGAAATAACTTGGGATTAAAATCCGTAAATGGCAACGTTTCTGTCGGAGCCGAGTTGGGCAAGCGGACCTCAAGCCCCGCTCCGAAGCAGACGGTGGCGGTGCCCGCGACAGCCTAACTAGGCCGAGACGGATGCATCGCCATTTACGGATTTCGATTGCGATTTTGACGGCTCGCTTGAGCTAGTGCGGAAACAACTTAAATTACTCGTTAGTCACTAGATTAGTCGGGCAAATCAAGCGGTTTCCCGCTCCCGCGACGAACAGGACAAGCGAACGAACAAAGCAGAAGCCCGAACTAAAATCACCCCGACTCTATTTCTCGATACTTCATTATCTCTAGTGTAAGCATTATCAAGAGGAGATATGTGTTAGTACAGGTTGTCTCGCAATTTTCAAGATAGAAATTCCCTGGGGTTTCCCTAAATTCTCCGACAAAAACGCCCAAAAAACCGGGAAAAAACTGAAATTCCCTGACGGATGGAAAAAATAATTCAGTCAGAACAATAAGTCTAAAATTATCTCCATTCTTACGTATAATGTAGATAAACACCAGTGAAATTCTCAGTTGGAAACGCCTGAAAGTTTCCTATTATAAATGGAGTTTGTGAGGGGCAATTTCGCAACATTGAAAAGTTATACTGACTGTTTTTAGCGAATATTTTAAGTAAAGGCCGCTTACGCGTGATATATCTGTTTTTTAGTCATGGGAGGTAACCATCAAATCAAATCGGCACTTATGGGCAATCTTTGGATAAAATACAGATTTTTCGTTCCAGCGAGGCAATGGTTATCTCCGATTTTCAAGTTCCAATCCCATTAGACGGCGAAGAGTAAATACAAAACAAATACGAGCTAAAGCGTATAAACATGCTGCTTTGTTTTCTGAAGAGCTCTGAGCTACAAGATAACATGGGAATCGACGAGTTTGGAAATCTGATTCTCTGTTTTCAAATCGAGAGCTGAGCAAATCTTTTCATAGTTTAACTTGAACACTTCACACAGTCGGCAATTTTGAAGGAACCGAAAACAGGTTGACAAGATTTGGGTTTTCCGAGTTGTGCACATCATGGGTTGTTTCCTCAGCGATAATTTCCAGTTTTTCCGGATCGTATACACCATAAGTTGGTCGCACTTGATTTTCTAAACTTGTCGAGTTGGAAAAATTAACCATTTTGTTTTGTACAATATGGGAAGTTGAGCACAAGCGGTTACTATCGTTTGGTTGGTTTTGATCTGGTTGGATAGACATTATTTTTTGATTAATGTGACAAAATATGTCGGTTGAAAAGATCCAAACTCGTAGAAACTGGTTACGACCGAACCCGGATTTATTAGTTTATAAACATTGTGCTATTCACGTGCAACTCGCGCGACCAATGCGCAGTACTGAGAAAACGGGAGTGCAGCGGGTCAGCTA